TCTTCTCTTCTCTTCTCTTCTCTTCTCTTCTCTTCTCTTCTCTTCTCTTCTCTTCTCTTCTCTTCTCTTCTCTTCTCTTCTCTTCTCTTCTCTTCTCTTCTCTTTTCTCTCTTTTCTTAATTTGCATGTTTTGTGGAAACATATGAAATTGTATTACAGTAGTAAGGGCTTCAGAATCCCAGTAGATGATGTAATTATGATTAAAAATTAGTATTATTGAATAATTTACTTTTGTAATGCACAAAAGTATTTTTTTTTCTCTCGTTTTCAATAACCATCAGTCTTAATATCTAACTAATGAAAAAACATAAACAGAGTCATCTGTCAGGTTGCTCACAGAGAATGCCACTTATTGGAGCCTCATTGTTTACTTTAGCAGGTAATTTGTGGACCGGAATCATTTAATTGTTCTGAGCACATAATTACATGCCAGCATTTTCCAATTTAATTAAAATGTACAAATCTAAAGATTAAGGGAATTTTTGAATTATTAATCATTTCTCCTCTAGGAAATCTTGTTGCTCTGCAGGAGATTTGTCCAGTGTACAACTATACGTATTTTTTTCCTTCTCTTTCGCAGACAGACAATTTTCCCGCAGAGCCCAATTACATGGGCAGCAGGCAGCAGTTTGTTCAAAGGTAAGGCCTATTAAATAACTTTCTCAGCTTCCCCATTTGCATTCTTGTCAAAATTGCTTGGCCAAAGAGTACAATTCAACCTAGAACGAGTAAATACAACTCTCCCTCTCTCTCTCTCTCTTTTTTTTTTTTTTTTTTTTTTTGTTTTTTTTTTTTTTTTAAATATGTATTTCAGTAGCTCCACATTCAAGGATCCAGAAAGAGCCAGCTTGAGGGACAGCGGGCATGGGGACAGTGATCAGGCTGACAGTGACCAAGACACTAACAAAGGCTCCTGCTGTGACATGTCTGTTAGGGAGGCACTCAAGATGAAAACTACTTCAACTAAAAGCCAGCCACTTGAACAAGGTGAGTGAAGCCTCCAGTGCTTACAAAGCGTAAAGTTAAGCCATCATTATAAACCTATTAGTGTTGCAGTTGCAGTGTAACAGAGTGGAATAGCCCTCTGATAATACTATCAGAGAAAACTGTAAATCTTGTCCCTAGCCCAGAGCAAAGGCATTCATGATCTTTCAGAATGAATATGAAATGAAACCACAAGTATCCTTCTTCTGTAGAACGAAAATAGATTAAAAAAATAAAATAAAATAAAATAAAATTAGTACTTCTCTAAAATGATTAGAAAATACTTTATCTCCACTGGCATTGCCTGTGATATATTATATACTGTTCTTCAGCCAAAGTGTGATTTGAAAACTCAACTCAGACATGACTGCAACAGATAAAAGAGCAGCAGTCATTTACATTCTTCATGTCGTTTGGATGCGAGGAAAAAAAAGAGAGACTCGGGATATTAGACAACAGTAAAAACTGACCAGAAAGTGTTTTCATTTCAAGGATGTATATTTCTATTTGTAATGTTGATTTCACAATTAATAGTAGTATGAGAATTGTCAAAAAATAAAATAATCTGATTTTTAGTATTATTTCACCCACACTCTAGGTTGGTATCAAAGATGAGTGTCTGTGAACCAGCTAAAATTACTTATAGCAGAACAACGACCACAATCTCTGCAAGCTTTCATTCTGACAAATAAGCATATTTATTTCTTCAAAATCTGCGTGTGTCCAGTGCACTTTTTTTTTTTTTTTTTTTTTTTTTTTTTTCCAGATATGCTTTATCTAATTATGAGGTCTTTTATTTCAGAAGAAACAATTAAAAAAAAAAAAAAAAATTGACAAACTGAGCACTTAAACATTGTGTGTTTGTGTGATTTTGCCGAGGTTGTAGGCAATAAGAAAGAGCACTACTGCTGGAATGTTTTATATATTTATTTTAGGTTAGTTTTTTAAAAGATGATTCAGGCTTAGATAAAGTTAAGAGATGATTAAATAAGTCAATAAGTTATTGAGAAGCTACATTTATAATTAAGCAGAAAAAAGTATGAGTTTTTTATTAATTGTTGATTAATTTGATCTAGGTTTTTGTTGTTTTGTTTTGCTTTTGTAGCTAGCCCAGTCTGATCTGTTATACAGTCATTAGGAACATGTTTCTGGTTATATTGGGATTGCAATGTGACTTTTGCTATGTAGAATATTTAGAATACTGCAGTATAACTTATTCTGTGTATATTTGAGGGTTGACCTCAAATATGACCTTATTTTCCAACTAATAAATGCCAGAAAGATTATTTTTTCCTAACCTCTTGCCACAGCAAGTCTCTGCGTATAATTAGACATTGATCTGTATATCTGTATAAAGATGCAGTACTAGACTTTTTTTTTTTTTTTTTTTTTTTTTTTTTTTTTAAGAAACTGAGTGTGTATCTAATTTTCTCAGTTTTGTTTTAGCAAAAAGGGTGGATTTCTACCATCAAGTACAGCAATGAGGTTCTAAAATTCAAAAAGTTTAATTGGGAAAATAATTTACTGCTCTAAATAATTAAGAAGTGAGAGCATTTTAGAAAATCAGCATATAGCCAGAGTTCATATTTTATCACAGTCTGTCAATATAACATCAAGAACAATACAGCTCAAAATATGAAAACATTAGTAAGCAGGTTAAGCCAATCTCTTCTATTCCATGTTTCCTTTGTAACAGTAAAAGTTATCTGGAGGTTTGCATTCATCATTATGTCTCTATGAGAGTCCCCATTTATCAGGAAACAACTCACAGCAGTGGCTCGTATTAATTCCTCACATTCTTATTAAATGTATACTGAACTATGGATGTTAAGTACTGTTAGCCACTGCTTTGCAGCAGCAGATGTTTATGTAATATTTTTTACTAAGAAAAAATAAATAATTAGAAAATAAATAATTAGCGTAGAGAGATAAATCACTTTTCTTTCCCCTAAAAAATACAATTTCAAATGGTAATAACATATATTTGTTTACCTCCATCTCAAGTATGTGGTAATAAAATCATTTGGCATATTACAAAAACTGAACCAACAGCAAGCATCTTTGGGAGTAGAAATCATTACAGTAACAAATGTGGTGCAATGTAGTGTTTTCAATAAAATCAATGATAGCTTCTCATTGAGTATTGGTGATCAAGGCTTTTAGTCCAACATAACTTCTCTCTTTTGAAAGACAATAAACAAAATGGCTTTCTCTACACATTATTCTATTCCATTCCATTCCATGCTGAAGAAGAGTAAGAAATACAATGTATGTGATTCAGGTAGAAAGAGGATTGCATTTTTTTTAGAGGATAATTGTTGTCTGGGAAATGGGGGTGGAATGCTTAATTTTCTATGGTGACACCTGAAGCAGTGTCAGAAGTTGTGTTTCTGTCAGTTCTGTCATCTCTCTAGGTTGTGCTAAAGGGTAGGAATTCACTGTTTTGTAGCAAAGTTTCAGACATGATTATTTCTGTTTAAAGATTCCAAAATAATTTAACTTCTAGAAAAGAGGGGCAAAACAAAGGCCTTTAAAATACATTGAGACAATAAGCCATGTCTCCTTTCAGATATTAATTTTTTCCTTCTCTGTAAATTTTAAGCTATTTTCTGCATAAAAATATCTGTCTGTCTTTGGTCAGATCAGATTTCTCAACTTATTCCCTACTTATACTGATTTCGCTGTCTTACAAAGGAGCTTGTTCCCTATGACTTGCTTTTTCAGTGGAATGATTTTAGACATGTGTTTTGCTTACCTTTCATTTTCCCCATTTTGTTCCTGAGACTTTAAACCCCTTCACAGGTTCAGACAGTTTAAGATCATCCTACTTACAAATCTCACACGAATTGACACTGTTAAACAGTGTTTGCCAAGTTACATAAAAATTCCTGTTGATTCCACCTGGAGTAGCATGTATTATTCACATTTTATGTTTAAATAATAGAATAATCTTTTTATTTTGCTGTGGCTTGTGCATAAAAACTACAATCAGTGTTTTTTTAAATGACATACAAAGATGAAAATGATATTGTAATCCATAAATGATATCTACAACAAAAACACGTTCATTCTAAACTTTCTTAGTAAGTCCTGACAATGTTTATCTTATAATCTGTAAAACAGTGTAGAGATAGGGATGTTTTTTTCTAGTTGCTTATAATTTATTCATTTCTTGGTTTTTTCGGTGCTTTTCTAATTTAATATATCTCTGGCAGATTATTATTACTATATTATTAGGGGTTTTTTTTGTTCAGTATATCACTCATTGTGCAACAGAAATCTTGCTTTCAAAATGCTTGATGTTCACACTTGTATCCCATAGAGGGGGCATTTTTGCACGTGCTTTTGCCTGGTTAATGGTAGGATGGATCCTAAGAATAAAGGAAAATCAGAGGTACATCCACGAAGAAAGAGTGAAAGGAAACTTTAACACTGGTGTCAGAAACTCCTCTAAGACCACTTTACCAGGTTTTTCTGGAACCTGGAAACAACACATTTTTAATCTAAGATATATGTGACTAGGATAAAAGGGCTGGAGTTAATCTTCAGCAATAAAAATTAAAATAATAATAATTAAAAAAAAAGATTAAATATCACATGAAAATACAACACTTTCTTCGTAATCACAATGAAAATACACATGGAACAAAGCTGACGCAAACTTGCATGCAACTGTCTAAAGAATAAAGACTGTATCAGATATTTTGCATCTCAATGAAAGCCATTAACTCTACTTTTTAATGGTCTCCTTCTCTGGAGACATTCAAGACTTGCCTGGATGCTTATCTTTGCAACCTGGTCTAGGGAGCCTGCTTTATCAGGGGGGTTGGACTCCATGATCTCTAGAGGCCCCTTCCAGCCTCTACAATTCTGTGATTCTGTAATTCTGTGATTGGTCCACTGAACATGTTCATGGAACAAGACTGTAGTAACTTGTGCATTTTCATTTTCAATTTTTAAAAAGAAAGATCCCTGAAATTGAATATCTTACTTTATCTAACTGCAGCAGAGTAGATATTATCAGAATTTTTTATGAATAATTTTTCTGAACTTTCCAATGATTTTCGTATATCAGCTCAATATCCACACTGGTGCATTTAACACATTCATTATTACATCTAAACTGACAGAACTTCCTTTCTAATTTTCTACTGTTAATACTTTGGTCCAGAGAATAGTATTTCTGAATTCAAGAGAATGGGTAGCATTATAACTGTTCTTCTTGTGAAGTCTGTGGTTCACGTTGAATCTTTTGTTGGTATCTTTTGATATCTAGTTTTTAGATTAATATTTTGCACTTTTAATTATAGGTGTACTATGAAAAATGTCAAATATTCTTAGTGCCTTAAACTCAGCAATTTAAAGCTGATCTAGATAACATGTTTGCAAGAGTTTCTTAGACTCACCAAGGTATGCAAATATTCTGTGATGCATCATTTTGAGAAACTAGAAAAATATTCCCCCTTTGAATCTAAGTTAATGATCACACCAGAGGAATATGAGTCAGTCACCTTTGCTGCGCAGTTGACTGTCATAACCTTTCTTATGTTCATATCCAGTGATCTATGATATATTTGTTGAGGAAATTACTGTGAAAAAAATGAGCAAATACTTCTGAAAAATAAAGACTAAGCCGTTTTTCTCCCTCTGTTGCTTTTATGTTGAATGTCTTTTTAAGTTTTATTTTTAGATGGCCTTCTATTCTACCTGAGAATTCAGGCTCACTTTTTACCTGTCAGTTATTTTGATACTGAGTCTAGGTTCTTGAGTGGCACTTTATGACATGTGAGTTGAGTGATAGCCAGGTGTGTTTAGAAGCAGTCTAGTTTGGTGCTTCCTTGTTAGAAAGGAGTGTGTTTCTATGCATAGCTTCTCTCTGTAGCATGTTCTGCTCACTTGAGTGGCTTTGGAGTTCAAGCAAAGCTGTCCAGGTGAGGAAGGAGAAATCTGATGAAACAGGAGCTTGTCTGGGAAGAAATGAGAAAAAGATATGCAGTGGCACC